CCAAAACCCGATTTTGATGTCTGCTGTCAAACATGGCTCATTTTTCTGATGCAGAAGCAGCTGTCACTGGAGCCTTTTAAACCATGTAAAGGAACCAAGCACAATTTTAAAGCAGGTAGCCGGGTTTTTTCTCCACATAGTATAAACTGTAAACTGAGTTATTACTTACAGGACTGGATGGTAATTATGCCTTTCTAAGGAGGTGGTGTCAAACATGGTTCTAACTCTGGAACAATAGTGTGGATGTGTAAAAGTATTATTGAACCCATCTGAAAATCCAGACAGGGACGGCAAGCTGTATGGGCTCATGGTGCCCGGGCTCCAGCAAATTCAGGGCCCGGGGGGCCTGGCTCCACCAATGTTCGGGTCTCTTCCCCGGCCCCACTTGCTGCCCCCACACACCTCCCCCAAGTGTCCCTGCCTGCCCTCGGCAGCGGGCAGCTGGCCCCTGCAGCTGCGCGCTGCACTCCCTTGCCAGCCGCTGCTTCTGCTGGCTATAAGGGAGTGGCGCCGGGGGGCAGGCTGAGGTGGCTGCTGCGCCTGTGAGGGAGGAGGTGAGGAGGTGCATGGCAGCCCTCCCCCTTACCCCCCCCCGGAGGTGACTCTGAGTCGACTCCGAGGAGGGAGGGCTTATTCTGGTTGGACCTGGGGAGCTTGGATGAGTGTCATGCCAGGGGGACTGGGGAGGGCCCCCTTCCCCTTCCCCTCCCCTCCACTCCCCTGGAGTTTGCTGCCGCCAGCAGGGAGAGGGCTGGGGGGAGGAGTCCTCTATGCCCCCCTGCCCCAGCCCCAGGGCAGCCTTCCTGCTGCACCCCAAACTCCTCATCCTTGGCCCAGCCCCATGCCCTGAGCCCCCTCCCGCACTCCAACCCTCTGTCCCATTCCAAAGCCTGTATCCAGCACCCCAAACACCCTCCCACACCCCCTCCTGCAGCCCAACCCCCTGTCCCAGCCCAAAGCCTGCACCCAGCACCCAAACTCCCTCCTAGAGCCTGCACCCTAATCCCCCTGCTTCACCCAAACTCCCTCCCAGAGCCCACACCCTGCACCCCAACACCCTGTCCCAGCCCAGAGCCTGCACCCAGCATCCAAACTCCATCCCAGAGCTCAAACCCCTCCCGCACCCAAACTCCCTCCCAGAGCCTTAACCGTGGGGGCGGGGGAGGGGAGGGACACGGACTTGGACCCGTTCTGGGCAACACCAAAAATTATATAAACCTGCCTCCCATGTGTCCAGATGAGCTTTACTGCTAGTTTGTATCGGGTTTTTGATGTTTAAATTTCTCTCATAGGAACTTTATGAGTATAGCCCACATCCAGCCCTGCTTCACAAGGCAACGAGCCTCCTTGTTTACTAGCTTGTCAAATACAAACTAGCACACTTAGGATAGGCAGATTTGGTCCAAACTTTACATGCTAGAACTCAGAAACTTGTCATTTTTCGATTGTACCAGAGACACTATAGTGTGACCTAAAGGAAAATCCGCTGCAGAGTTCTAAAAAACAATGCTTGCTAAGTCAGTGGTCAAACCAGAAACACAGGGTGGAGGTGTGTGTGTGTGTGGTTGTTTTCAGTTTTCTAAAATCTTTTCCATCAGATATTCTAAGGGTGAAATTCAACTCGGTGACCCACGGTGATGGTCTGTTAGTACCACTGTGGATCTCTATTGCTATTGCAGAAATGTCAGTGGGAGAGATGCACTCTGCAGCTTAGGGAGGAAAATTCAGCCCTGCGTTTTCAGACGAGCTGTGAGGCTTTTAGCCTGGTGCAAAATCAAACAGGAAGAGCTTCACTTTGTAGTTAGTGATTCCTCTTTTGCTTGGTAGGGTTAAGAGGGAAGAAAAGTGAAACAGTGATAATTTTGAAGAGCCTGTTCCATAATGACAATAATCATGTGCTCTTATAATAATACTCAGCTCTTACATCCACTGATCTTAAAGCACTTTATGGAAGTGGGCAAGTATTACCCCCACTCTAAATATGAGGAAACTGGGGCCCAGAAGCTAGCCAACGTTACACAGTGGTAGATCCAGAAATAGAACCCAGCTCTTGTGACTCACAGTTAAATGGCCTATCTACTGGACCAGAATACTTCTCAAAGGCGAAGTGTGCTTCTAAAATCCTTCCTTTTTCCTCCCTGCAAAGGGAACTAAGCTGTTCAGACATGTTTGTTTCTGTCAGGGTAACACTAATGTATATGCATATTTTTCTGTCTGGGGTGGAAGTGATTACTCTCGGTGTATTTTTCATTTTTAAAGATAAACTGAGACAGTTGCAGTTGAATTTAAAACCCTGGAGCTATGTCAATTTACATCAGTTGAGAATTTTATATTTCTTTACTTGTTACTTTCATTATTAAAAATGAAATAATTGTAATAATCTCATTAACATTTTGCCATTAATCCTATTTGTTCATATTGTGCATTTGTATCCATCTGGAGAATTAAACTAACCAAGTCACTTTCATTTTTATTCAGCCTTTAGTTTAATTTAACCAACCGAGTCACTTCCAGTTTGTGGCTCTCTTGCTGTAGCACAGTGCTGCCATGTTTGGGTTGCAAAATTCAAATATAGTTGGAAGAAGATGAAACTGTCCAGACTGTGTGCAGGAAACTTCCTCCTGCTCTTGTGCAGCGGCACAAAGGCTATCTACAATAGCATTCCCTGTGTTTCCCAGCCTCTAGGTAGGGCAGGGACTGTTTACTTCTGCTCTTCCCCATCCCCAGGAGTAGGATCCCCAAAAGAGGACAGGGAATGGTGGGGATGAATCAGTCTCATAATCCCCCTCTCCCATGACTCCCCTTCACCCGAATCAATGCGTAAAGCAGGGCTGGGGTGTTTCGGGGGGGGAAGCAATTTTCTCTCTAGGATGGAGCATATGGTACACACACCCTTGTTGTGCAGAGATTCCCCAGAAGAGAGGCACAGTTTCCCCAGTGTTCCTCCTGGGGTAAAGCTGTTTGGGGCAGAGATGTAAAAGCCACAGACTGGACGGACATACGTTTATTGTTTTAACCAGAATATTTTCATGAGAGAAGAGCTGCATTTTTCTCCGTGTTAAACTGATAAGGAGAGCCTTCTGTGACAGCGCAAACGGTCACCTTAGTAAGAATGACTCTATTAGGGAAAATGGTGTCAAAGGGTTGTGGAATCATGTGGCAAAACAACAGGAGGAGTAGCTGATAGATATAAAGTCCATCTACATTTTGAGCTGGAGGTATAATGCCCAGCTCAGGAGGGCATATTTGTGCTAGCTCCGATCTAGCAGTGTGCTAGAAATAGAAGTGTAGCTGCAGTGGTGTGAGCAACAGGAGGCCCACATACAATCCTGTCTGAGACACTAGGTATGTACTCAAGTGGCTAGTCCCTCCCACTGCTTGTGCTGCCATGGTTACACTCTATTTTTAGTGCGCTAGCTCAATCAGAGCTAGCACAGGTTTGTCTACCCAAGCTGGAAATTACAGCTCCAGCTCGAAGGGTAGACATACATTTGAGTTACCTTTTCAGCTTGTCCTCAGAAACAAATTCTTTAAATTGTGTTGCACGCCTGATCGCATCAGACTCAATCTGAACCCTTAATGTATTTCAGGACTGTATTGGACTCTGATCCTTATTCATCTGAGGGCAGATCTACACGTAAATGAAGGTGCTCAACACTGACAGGAGAGAGCTGACCCGTCAGCAGAGTTAATCCATCTCCATGAGAGGTGGTAGCTGTGTTGGCGGGAGAAGCACTCCTGTTGACATAGCACTGTCTATACCGGGGGTTAGGTCGATGTAACTATGTTGCTCCGAGGTATGAGTTTTTCACACCCCTAAGCGATGTAGTTATACCGAAGTAATTCTGTAGGATAGACCTGCCCTGAGTAACCCTTACATGTGGAGTCCTCTTAAAGTCAGTGGGACTCCTAAGCATCACTAGTGGGAGTAAGAGCTGCCAGATAAGTCCCATAGTGTTTTGCAAATTTTCAGATCAGCCCTTCAGATTTGGGCAGTCATGAAAATTATTATAGGTGGCAGCCTTATGCAGTGTGAATTAATGTTAAGTACTCACTTACACTTCTAGACAGAGCTTAATGAATTTGGAGGTTTCTGCTTTGTGCGCAGTCGATGTTGATCACAGCAGAAACACACAGGCAACACTGACGGTCTCTATACAGCCTTTGCATACAAGAGAAGTACAAGTGAAATTCAGAGTGGGTGCTGAGAAGGGATTATACCTGTACCTGGTTCATCACTACTTCTGTTGATGGCTAACTTTCATAAACATTAAATATCACCTAATTTTTTCAGCTGGTTTTCCTCTACCTAGGGCAGGAGCATAAATCTTGGAAAGGGAGGGGAAGGGAGTAGCAATGAATTGGTCTGTGTTACTGATGCTTTTCTGTCATAGTACTGTTATTTTTCTTAAGAAGAATGAATGAGAGATGTCCAGTGAAGTTAGCCAAAAACCCATCAGAGAAGAGAGGTGTGTCCATATTTTTTTCTCTGAAAGTCTTTGAAAACTCTAAGGATTCTTGTGACTTGAGTAAATATATTCTAGTGAAATAACATTATGTTTGTGGTCTGAACTTCATTTTGTGTTTAATCTTAAACCACTGATTATTGGTAAAGGAATCAAATAACCATAGTTTAAAAAAATATATATCAATAATACATGTGTACCATCACCTAACTTATAGTAATATATTTCCTCTGTGATGGGGCCTTTATTCTTGTGATTAAAATATATAGGCCTACATTTTCAAAAGTGTCTAGAGCTTTTGGGTACCTCAGTTTTTGGGTGCTCAAATTGAGACATCTTAAAGGGCCCTGATTTTCAGAAAGGCCATCTGACTCTGGAAATCAGGCCCCTTTAAAGTGTCTTAAGTTGGATACCAGACATCACTAGTCACTTTAGACCATGAGGTCTCTGGGAACTGATGTACAGCTTATCATGGACGTGGTTACATTTCCAACGTATGAGAATAATAACTCATTTCCTAATTTCTGCTTGCAGTATCCATAATGGAGTAATAGCAGTGTTCCAACGTAAAGGGCTCCCAGACCATGAACTTTACAACCTCAACGAAGGAGTTAGGTGAGTAACACAATCAGAGAGAGAGACGTTGCAGCACAGTTTTTAGAAAACTGATGTTGTTGGCCAGTAATCGTTGCTGACAACTTCCACAGTGAGGCCTTTTTTCTTCAGTTGTTTGTATTGGAACTGATAAAGAATATCATTAATCTGTCCTTATTGGTTAGGTGTTGGTTCCTGGTCAGCTGTATTTACTGCAGGACTCTTGTCTGCACATCAGAGGGAAAAACTAAATGTAGTGACCTGCCTGTGTCATGGAAACAAATATAGTCCTGTCTCAACCAGTCTGGAGCAGTCTAGATGACATTTAGAAAACAAGAGTGTAAATCCAGAGCAAGAGCGTTGACCTTAGTGGGAGTTACTCTTGAGGATGGAGTGGAGGTTAAGGATAATCTAGGCATGGCCCAATATCTAAACAAATACTTTGCTTCAGTCTTTAATGAGGAGCTTAGGAATAATGGTAGGATGACAAATAGGAATGAGGATATGGAGGTAGATATTACCACATCCGAGGTAGAAGCCAGACTCGAACAGCTTAATGGGATGAAATCAGGGGGCCCAGATAATCTTCATCCAAGAATATTAAAGGAACTGGCACATGAAATTGCAAGCCCATTAGCAAGAATTTTTAATGAATCTGTAAACTCAGGGGTTGTACCGTAAGACTGGAGAATTGCTAACATAGTTCCTATCTTTAAGAAAGGGGAAAAAAGTGATCCGGGCAACTATAGGCCTGTCAGTTTAACATCTGTAGTATGCAAGGTCTTGGAAAAAATTTTGAAGGAAAAAATTGTCAAGGACATTGAGGTCAATGGTAATTGGGACAAAATACAACATGCTTTTACAAAAGGTAGATCGTGCCAAACCAACCTGATCTCCTTCTTTGAGAAGGTAACAGATTTTTTAGACAAAGGAAATGCAGTGGATCTAATTTACCTTGATTTCAGTAAGGCATTTGATACGGTTCCACATGGGGAATTATTAGCTAAATTGGAAAAGATGGGGATCAATATGAAAATTGAAAAGTGGATAAGGAACTAGTTAAAGGGGAGACTACAATGGGTCGTACTGAAAGGTGAATTGTCAGGCTGGAGGGAGGTTACTAGTGGAGTTCCTCAGGGATCGGTTTTGGGACCAATCTTATTTAATCTTTTTATTACTGACCTTGGCACAAAAAGTGGGAATGTGCTAATAAGGTTTGCAGATGACACAAAGCTGGGAGGTATTGCCAATACAGAGAAGGACCGGGATATCATACAGGAAGATCTGTATGACCTTGTAAACTGGAGTAATAGTAATAGGATGAAATTTAATAGTGAAAAGTGCAAGGTAATGCATTTAGGGATTAATAACAAGAACTTTTGTTATAAGCTGGGGAGGCATCAGTTGGAGGTAACAGAGGAGGAGAAGGACCTCAGAGTATTGGTTGATCACAGGATGACTATGAGCCGCCAATGTGATATGGCCGTGAAAAAAGCTAATATGATCTTGGGATGCATCAGACGAGGTATTTCCAGTAGAGATAAGGAGGTGTTAGTACGGTTATACAAGGCACTGGTGAGACCTCATCTGGAATACTGTGTGCAGTTCTGGTCTCCCATGTTTAAGAAGGATGAATTCAAACTGGAACAAGTTCAGAGAAGGGCTACTAGGATGATCCGAGGAATGGAAAATCTGTCTTATGAAAGGAGACTCAAAGAGCTTGGCTTGTTTAGCCAAACCAAAAGAAGGCTGAGGGGAGATATGATTGCTCTCTATAAATATATCAGAGGGATAAATACCAGGGAGGGAGAGGAATTATTTAAGCTCAGTACCAATGTGGACACAAGAACAAATGGATATAAACTTGCTATCAGGAAGTTTAGACTTGAAATTAGACAAAGGTTTCTAACCATCAGAGGAGTGAAGTTCTGGAACAGCCTTCCAAAGGGAGTAGTGGGGGCAAATCTGGCTTCAAGACTAAGCTTGATAAGTTTATGGAGGGGATGGTATAGTGGAATAGCCTAATTTTGGCAATTAATTTGTCTTTGACTATTAGTGGTAAATATGCCCAATGGCCTGTGATGGGATGTTAGATGGGGTGGGATCTGAGTTATTACAGAGAATTCTTTCCTGGGTGTCTGGCTGTTGAGTCTTGCCCACATGTTCAGGGTTTAGCTGATCGCCATATTTGGGGTCGGGAAGGAATTTTCCTCCAGGGCAGATTGGCAGAAGCCCTGGGGGTTTTTTGCCTTCCTCTGCAGTGTGGGGCACGGGTCACTTGCTGGAAGATTCTCTGCACCTTGAAGTCTTTAAACCATGATTTGAGGACTTCAATGGCTCAGACACAGGTTTGATACAGGAGTGGGTGGGTAAGATTCTGTGGCCTGCATTGTGCAGGAGGTCAGACTAGATGATCATAATGGTCCCTTCTGACCTTAAAGTCTATGATTCTATATATCTGGGTCCAGAATCGGGTCCACAGTTTTCTTTTAACAACAGATTGGCTATTAATATTGTTTTTTTCAGATTGCTCTTGCATAATGTGCCAGGCTATTTCTTTTAATTAGTTTAATGATAAACCTGCTTCATACATTTTGCTCAATTGATCATTCATTTTGCTGTGCTTGGGGGACAACAGTTGCTGATTCATACCAGAGCTGATTGAGGGCACATTGCAAAATCTAGACCAAAAGCGTCTGTCATAAACAACACATCAGTAGTGCAAAACTTGGGGTGTAAAACAGTGCATACTGTTGCTTAGAGGTTGGAAATTCCAGTTATGGAAGCATCCTCAGGGCTCCTGACCATTTGGAAATTATTCCCATGGCTGCAGCAAAACACAGTCCAAAATTATCATCGGTTTCAGGAAATGTGTACACCTTTCCTTTGTGAGGCTGTATTATGCCTTTAAGGCACTAACTTGTGTTGGGGGTTTGTAGAGACCTTAACCAGTGGGAGATCCAGGAGTAACACAGAGCAAGCCTGGCCATTGGGTCACCCCGTAAGAGGATGCAGTGTATACTGGCTGGGACAAGAGGGGCAGGTGTAGCACCAGCCTCTGCACGCATCCCTCAAGGTGGCTAGCAGGATTATCCTCGCAGTCCATCAGTGTGAACAAGTGCAAGGTGGTGCCCGGTCATTGCAGGAGAGGGTGGGGGATGAAAAGAAGGAATGATTCACTGCACATCCATCCATTGTACATGCAGAGTCTGCTCCTTGGAACTGCAGAGTCACCAAGCATAGTCCAGTTTAGTCTTGCATAGCAAGAGCTTTCCTGCAGGCTTCACTTGTCAGAAAACATGAACAGATTAAAAAGCCATGGTTGGGCTAAAACCCAGCTAGCCTCTCCACTTTTATGTAGAGGTTTGCTTCCTCTTAGGCTCCAGGTTAGATTGACCATTCTCTAACAGTGATCCTCCTTTTCAGTGAGTACCCGGGAATTGTTTTTTATAAAGCTCCTGATATGCCCAATGATCCTTCATAAAAACACTGTTGTGAGGGGAATATAAGTGGCTTGGAGGGTTGTGCAGGGGTCGGGAAGATCTGTATCAAGAGGAAGCATTTGTGCAAACGCCAACTGCTAGACAGTCTCTTAAGCAGATTAGAACACATTTGTGCACATAGCAGCAACAGCTGTCTCTTCTGAACTGTCCATTTTCTGACTTAACTACATTTTCCTACTGCACATGGTCAATATGCAGTTTTTGAATCCTCGTGACTATTTAAAATCAGAATTTCTTTTTTCAAATTTAGTTAAGCACAATGAGGACTATTTGCATGCCTCGGTTCAAAGGTCATTCAGACATTATTGCTGTGTCCAAAAATTGAAATTAATTTTATTCTGAAGTGGGACAAATGTAATCACCCTCTCACAACCTCAGACATCACTGCATTTTTCCCCCCACAAAAAATGTTACCTTTAGGCAAAGACCGAGCCTGGAAAATTTCACCTCAGATGCTGTATTTTCTTCACAGATACAAGATAATAAGAGAAGTTATTTTCCAACTATAAAGAATGCAGTTTCTACTGGCAATTATTGTAATTAAATCATGAAAAGAATTGAGTAGCATCATAACACAAATATTAATATGTGGGGAAATAAGTTATACCTACAACATTTGTGCATTTTCCTGTTGACTCCCAAACCCATGTGTGCAGCATTAGGACTTGTGATGAATACGATTTGAATAAGATATATCTTTGCAACATTACATCTTTCATACCAATATGGAAATATTTTCCTCTTAGCTCAGTATGTAAAATTTCTGTTCTGCATGAGTTGCAGTTTTTCCCTTGCCAAAGTCACCATTACATTTGACACTGATTGGTCTCTGGGTTGGCAGTCTTGGCAGACTATGTAGCAAGTCACTAGCAGAACCAGAACTAGAATCCAGGTCTCCTGATCCCCAGTCCCACGTTGTAACCCTTGGTTCTCAACCTTTTCCATACCGTGATCCCTTTTTTCATACATCCTGGGACTCCCCATCCTATTCAGCAATATGGGAAGAACTGGGTAGGTCTGACTGCCCTCCCCTTCCCCCAAATCCAAACTTGCCCCTTCTGATCTGGGGTTTTGTTTTGGGTCAGCAGCACAAAATAAAGGTTGTTGGGGTTACAAATGAAATGCATGCTAGGGTGATAAAGCAGATGGTTCCCCAAGTTAAGTAGCTATAGCTATGAGTGCAAATACATTCCAAGAAAATGATAACCCACTAATGCTCTGTACCCTGAATACTGCTATTAAAAAACCATAGAGGGCCTGGCTTCATTTATACCAAAGCTCCTTTCCACCACCATGGAATTGTACAGATACCTTAAAGAGGGAGTACATTACATTTAGGGCCAAAGGGACTGATTTTACTTCACTTGCACTATTGTAAATCATGAGTGACTCTAGTGGAGTTACATCGTTGTAAAACAAGTTTAAGGGAGGGAAGAAATAGCTCCAAAATATAATTGATTTACATCCTGAACTCCTTAACACAGCTTTTATTCAGTCCTTATCAGTTGGTTCAATGGGAATTTGGCTGAGAAAAGATTTAAGGTAATGTCCCATAATTATTATAGTCACCTTAATTTTCAGCCAAGTTAAAAAAAAAGTCAAAATAAAGAATTTTTAACAAAAACCTATATATAGAATCTCTCTGCGTAACTCTTCTTTTATCTGTGACTGTGTGATATTAATAACCATACAGTGGAGACCTGCGGGAGTTCTCTTTCCCCATTCCTTTAGTCGGATGTTATTATTTACACTCCTCAAAAATTAAGGAAGAAATAGAAGGAAGAGGAAACGGTGAGGAAGCAGGATATCCAGTATTAAAGATGATGTATATTTATAGCTGCCTCTCCTCTGAGCTTCAGGAAGCTAATTGGATACAAGAAAGGCAAATTTCAGCAGCATTTCCACAGTTGTTGAAAAATTTTGTACCTGATAAAAGAATCTCTTTCTTCACGTCTTTCATAATTTAATAGCTAATAAAGTTAAGGTCAATTATAATAATGAACTAGATTTTTTTCATTCTGAGTAGCATTTAGGAATTAATTTCAAAGTCAACCAAAGAAGAAGCAACATGAAGATATAAAAGTGTATTTTATGTGAGTTGATATTAGCATCTTAATTTGTAAAGTCTTTAAACAGACAGAGTAGATTTAGAGCCAAAAAGATACAAGCCTCATGAGTGCAAAATGGCTCTTGGTAAAATGAGAACTGTTTAAAAATCAGTTCTCATATCCGATCAGAAATCTCATTTTAATTTAACCTGGACTCCATCACAGAAGTATGTGTAATCAGACATAGCTATTCAGTACTGACCATTGCCCGTGGCCTGATGGATTGGTACAACATATTTTGTTAAAGAAAAGAAATACATTTTTGCAAACAATTTTGTTGGGTTCGGTTCTGCTTTGGATCACTTATTAGTAAGCATAGGTACTGAGAACATCAAACACTGATGTTCTAATGCTTCTCAATGACCTCAGCATTTCATTGATAATTGAAGTCAGCAATAAAGTACCCGTATTGTTAGAGATTCAAAGGGGAGAAAGCACCCAGTGCTGTCAGTTCTGCCTCTACCCTGTAAGCAGAGGTGCTAATACATCCATAATGCTGCTTGGTATGCTGCATTTCACTGCTCATGTAAGTGCAGGTTGTGTACTTTTTAGCTTTATTTCTTTCTCATTTGAACTACTAAGTACCAAGATTTTAGTTCATCAGAGCTTAGGGTTAGTTTTCTAATCAAGAGAATGCCATTTTATAATCAACATTTGTAACTCCAGTAATTAGCCATCACATCTAATGATGGTATGAAGCCATCTATGTATTAGCTATTTACAAACCACCTAATAGAGTCAACAAGGAAGTTGGGACTGGAGTTTAAAGAGCCAATAACTTGAAGGGAAGGTGGAAATAAAGCAAGAGATTGCCATATAACAATGTCCTCCAATATTCTTTTTCTGAGCTGTGATACCAAGGTTATATTGCGGAGCGAGGTCTGGAGTGGCGGTGTCTCTTTCATATGAGAAATAAAATCTCTGTGGAAATTTACAGCCCTTTCATTACAGACTAGATTCAGCCAATCTTACTTATACTGAGTTGTGCCTTATTGCATGACATGTCCCATTGAAATCAATGGGCCTGCTTGGGAAGTAAGCTACTCACCAGGAGGCAGAATCTGGCACTATGCACCATTTCAACAGTTGAGATGAATTGAGATTTTTGTGAACAACCCCTAGATTTAAAGGTCAAGGTGTTGTAGGCAGAGGGTGCTCAGAAGAGGGTCCTCAGCTGCAGGATTCACTTCCCATGTTCATCCAACAAATCCTGGGTCTGTTGACCTTCAGAGCACTATTCAAGGTTTATCTACTCACCTAGGTTGAGCTTTTGAAAGCCGACTAGGGGATTTAAACATACCATTCCCATTAATTGTAATGGGAGTTGCATGACTAAATCCCTTAGCTGGCTTTGACCATTTCGATGCTAGACTGTTATCTGAAGGAGTGTGTCTGAGTCGGTTGAGTTTCTAGGGGAGAGTTCTTTTCATGCTGAATTTTGTCCAGTTGGGCTCCCTTGAAAATCCCACTCCTTGTTTTCATTTTTTAATTTCATGCGTTCCTAACATGTCTGCACAGAGTGCACCAGGGTCATGTTGGGCATATTCTTATCAATATAAAGAAGTAATACACATGCCCCCATGCTAGATGTTGACATGCTCCTTCTCGTAATGGCAGCTGTCTCTGCACACTGCAGGGCAGAATGTGCTGAATCTTGTGGTGTTCCACAAGTAAGTTTCCATCTCCTGTGGGGCGTTTTGGGAAGGAGGATAGGGCGGAAGAGGGGCATATAGAGGGGAATGGTCTGCTGGGCTTCAGAAATAGGGCATGTTTTTTTAAAAAAAATTAATTATTATTTTTCAAGGCCAGAAGAAGGAAACAAAGGGAAGGGAAAGGGGACCACACACAACAAAGTGTCTGCATTCATATATAGTGAAACTTGTCTTGTACGACCACAGTAGGGACCAAAATATTTAATTGAGGTGGGTCTTTAACCAAATTTCACATACAGTTGTACTGAGTTCCTTCAGTCGTCAGATGGGGCCAGATTTTCAAGCGTTCAGCAACCACAGCTGTGACTAGATTCTCAAATTGTTCAGCACCCAACGTGCATCAAGTGAGACTTTGCTGCATAGGCCTTGTGCTGGTTCTCTACACAGGGGCGAATTTCACCTTGAATACATTGGTTCTGGCATTAGAGCTGGTGGGATTCAGTTGTTTCGTTTGACGGTGGTTTATGGGAATTGTATTTTGTGTAGGTTGGCACTCCCACAGTTTGGCCTAGAGGCTTTCATTTGAAGGAGTGATATGCTGCATTTTAACCTGATTTTGCACTGAAGCTGTGTGAAATTTGGAGTTTTAATTTAACTGGCCCAGATTCATTCTGGATGTTCATGACACTTGGCTCAGTGTCAAGCTTGTCACAAAACCCAGAGAGTTTCACCGGGTTTCAGGTTTCTTTATGAACACTTGGCACAACTCTGTTATTAAAGTCACTTAGGGCCCAAACCTGCAGTCCAGAGCTCTAAAAACTCAGACCGCACCTCATTAAAGCAAGCCAAACTCTCATTCCTTTGGAATTACATTATTTCGAAATCCGCCAGATTGCTCAGAGCCACATACCAGCGTAGAATACTAAGATTTTTCATATTCTTCCACTTCTGAAGTGCAAGTGAAATGAAATTCTGGTCTCAGTTAATTAGGCGTAAATACAAAGTAACTCAAGTGACTTCAGTGGTGTGATACCAAATTTATACCAATGCAGCTGAAGGCAGAATTCAGCCTCTCTTCTTTTAGTTAAGAAAATCACTTGTGTATTTGTACCATAACTATAGTCATTAACAGGTCTAAATCTCCTACAATAAATATTTCTGAGCATTTAGAGATGTTGGTTTAAGGGTTTATTATAGTGTGTTATCCCTGTTTAATATGCTTCTGGTTAAACGTTTTTAGAAGGAAAGATGCAACTTAAAACACTTCATAAGATCAGCAGTCTTCCTTTCTTATACACAATGCACATTGGGTACAATTTGTTGATTGTAAAAATTCTTTTTTTATTCTCTATTCCCTAATACAGGCAACTACTGAAAACTGAGCTGGGATCCTTTTTTACTGAATATCTGCAGGTTTGTGGGGGTTTCATTTTTCATTCAGCTTCTTACATTTGTCAGTGCTGCTGAGTAAAATTGTTTGGCTGAACAAGCAGTAGGCAAATCCTTTTGTAATGGGTTGGATCACAGAAACCCCCTTGGGAACTGCCAACTGATGTGCCAAGACTACTTCTGCTCCTGCTTTCCCATCCAGCTTGGGACTCCAGCACCCTGTCTTGTTGAGCCAGACACGCCAGTCTGCTTCAACACAGATCCAGGGTCTGAACCACGTGCCCCAAAGTTGCAGACTTAACTGAAAGCAATTTAAGAAGTGTTCCTGTCTTTAACACTCAGATGCCCAACTCCTAATGGGGTCCAAACCCCAAATAAATCCGTTTTACCGTGTATAAAGCTTATGCAGGGTAAACTCATAAATTGTTCACCCTCGATAACACTGATCGAGAGATATGCACAGTTCTTTGTGCCCTCCCCCCGGTATTAATACATACTCTGGGTTAATTAATAAGCAAAAAGTGATTTTATTAAATACAGAAAGTGGGATTTAAGTGATTCCAAGTAATAGCAGACAGAACAAAGTGAATTACCAAGCAAAATAAAATAGAACACATGAGTCTATTTCTAAGAAAACTGAATACAGATTAAAACGTCACCCAGTAAGCTTCCTTTTACAGACTAGTCTCCTTCTAGTCTGGGTCCAGCAATAACTCACACCCCCTAGAGTTACTGTCCTTTGTTCCAGTTTCTTTCAGGTATCCTTGGGGCTGGAGAGGCTATCTCTTGAGCCAGCTGAAGACAAAATGGAGGGGTCTCCCACAGGCTTAAATAGACTTTCTCTTGTGTGTGGAGGTCCCCTCCTCTCTCCTATGAAAAGTCCAGCTCCAAGATGGAGTTTTGGAGTCACATGGGCAAGTCACATATCCATGCATGACTCAGTTTTTACAGGCAGCAGCCATTGCTTACCTGCTCCCTTGAACGTCCTCATTTAGACTTCTTATGTGGATTGGAGCCTCCCAAGATCCATTGTCCCTTAAGTGCTTCGTGATTGGGCACTTAATTTGCACATTCCTTTCTCAAGAAGTTGACCAAGTGCTTTACAAAGGCTACTTAGAAATCAAGCAAGTATACAGCCAATATTCCTAACTTCAAGTACAAAAATGATACATGCATACAAATAGGAGGAATGTATTTAGTAGATCATAACCTTTACATAGATATGTTACATGGCATATGTAGCATAAAACATATTCCAGTTATATCATATATACATTCATAAGCATATTCCCATGAAGTCTTATGGGGTACACCGTCACACCTTTACCTTTCTATTACGTTAAAGTTAAGGATAAAAATAGGATTTGTTCCCCTTCCATCAGTGTCACATTGGTTGAAATTTCATATCAGGTCAGATATTGAAATATTTGACCAGAGGTCTTTGTACCACATGTATTTTAAGGACACTATTAAGGAACTTTATTGCGGTCACTTATAAAGGAAGGGTTCAGATCATGGCTACAGAATGGACAATATTTGCCCTTAACTGTGACAGTGGGATTCCTATAAATACTATTTGTTCCAGTATTCTGACGTGATTTATTATCCTGATTCAAAGCCCTCTAAAGTCTGTGGAAAGACTCCTATTGACTTCAGTGGTTTTGGATCAGGTCCTGTTATGAGCATTTATTGACCGATGAGATTTGGTTTTAATATTTCATTTTATAGTGAAAGCCCACATCTAATATTATAAATCTCAGCATAATACAGATTTTTATTAAACGGATCCTTTTCAATAGGGTCCAAATATTTAATTTAGGTGAAAATTCTGTGGGATTCCTCAAATCTCTTGTGCTGTAATTAATCAGGAATTATTATTTATTAATAATTATACAAGATCTTACTTTTAAAATACAATTTACTACCTCCCTTGCTGATTAAATAGTGTATGGCCTATGCTAATGTTTGTAAAAAGCTTTAATATCCCCAGATGGAAGTTGCTATACACTGGCAGAGCTAAGAATATGATTATCATCATCATTTTACAAGTGTCCTAGTAGCTTTAAACAAGAAGATGGACATAGAAATAAAACTTCATTCATGAACAGCAGCCATTAAAACAGCTTTCTTGTTTAAAAAAAAATCTACAATGGCTTCGAAGAAATATGGAGTTGTAGAAATAAAAGGTGTGTGTATTTTATTTACAGAATCAGCTGCTTACAAAAGGCATGGTAATACTGAGGGACAAGATCCGGTTTTATGAAGGTAACTCAAACTTCAGCAGTGCTGCAGCTGTTCAAAGGACTGGATCTAAAGCACACTGAAATCAATGAGATTCCTTTCACTGACTTCAACGGGCTTTGGATCGGGTCCCATAACAGCAGGTTGTTCCAGTGTCACTTACAGTTTCATGTTCCTATTGGCTTCCACCAAGGAGAAATGTTTGCTTAGCACATCAACTAACCAAACCTCCTGTTTGGGTGTTTACGTTTTCATTCAGTTATAACTTGTTTAAGATTAAATAGATGTGGAAAACAGAATACAATGTTTTATTAAATGACAATGTAAACCCTGCAATCCCAATTAGCTGAAAAGTCATGGGAACACACTCTGCTCTCACTTAAACCTGGGTATAGCCTGAGTAATTCTGTTGTCTTTAGTAGAGTTACTCTGGGTTTACATTGGTATAAATGAGGTCAGAAGCTGTGCCGTTGTGTTGTCATGGCTCCATTTATCTGTCTGTCCGCAGTTAAAGTGGTTATAAATGTCACCTAACTGAGGCAACTATTAATGAAATTTCTTTTATATTTGAAAGAATCAGTCCAAGTATTAAGTAAATAAATGCAAAGAGAAGGAACAAAAATTCAGAGTATTGGCCAGATTCTGCTCTCCTATACACCAGTATAAATCTCGAGTATCTCCACTGAAGACAGTTGTCCACTGGAATTACTCCAGATTTACATCAGTGTAAGTAGGAGTAGAATCTCGCCCTATCTCTCCACACAGACACTCTAGTTTCTCTCACTTGCATTCACTAGAGATCTGCAAAAGAGATGTTGTCAAATCTGTCTTTTAATGAGTCTACATGAATGCAGAAATCAAAAAATACCTCTTAAAATTGCTAGCACAAATTCACTGGCAGAATTATAGTATGGTCCAATACATTCTGCTTACCTAGCCTCCAGCTGCTATTTTACCTGAATACAATATTCTTCATTCCATGGCCTATGCTGTTGTGCAGCAGTTAGAGGTGATTTTTAAATTGGCTGTGTCACCCAGAGGAAGCTATATTTCATTGGCAGGTGAAGTAATTTCTGAATATAGATTATAAAATAAAACATCTGAGAACCTTTTGGAGTCCAAGACAGTTTTAAAGAAATGCAGTTTTCTTTCAACTGCACCACAATGTCAAAACGCCTCTTAGTCTAAATACACCATTTGATCAGTTTCCTAGAGAAAGCCATTGGCATTACTTACAGCTATCTCTGAATTTTAAATGTGATCTTTCACTGCTGTCTGCTTATTTGATTGGATCAAGACTGTTATTGAACCCAAATCTGTTAATGAAAAGACAATTCCCCTGACCACAGCAAACAGAAAACGTATTTGACATACATTCCTCAAACTCCTCTAGAGCCGATCATAGAGTGGTTTAATTATTTAACATAACACCTACAAAATCACAGACAACTGGACTGTAAGGATTTCAAGGTTTTCACAGCTTTCTTGCAAATTATAAATCAGATTTTTCAGTCTCAAATTGGTAAATCAAAAGGAGAAACCAGTCAATTTTTAAAATCACACTGTATAGGTAATTTTTTTAAAAGTTGATATTAGATTGATATTTGATATCAATCTAATAACATTTAAGATGCAAAACTGAGAAACAAACATTGAAATGCATCTTGCTTCTCCTGTAACTGAAATGAAACTCAGAAACCTTGCATGTGTAAAATGTCAACAAACTCTTAGGCTAGATTGCTAATTTGATTTAATGCCATATATAGTTTACTTAAAACAGGTCATTAAAATGTGTGTGGTGTAAAAATATTGTGGGCCCATGGAAAATATTATGTGTCTGTTTCATACAAGAATGACCACATCAGGCCTATGTTTACATGAGCTGAGTTTCCTTTATCCCTGCAAATACTGTAGGAAATCCAAAGGCCTTTGCTTGACAGTAAAACAAACATTCTCAGAGGACATGAAAGTCAAATTCTTTTGTGTGAAATATGCTAATCACCAATTGATTCTAAGCATTCTTCCACATCCCACAGTAAAAGGTCTGTCTGGGAAAATGCAGTTTACTGTGCAGATAGAGGAGCAGCTGTTCTGAGTCACTGTTGTTGCTGCATTGAAATTCATTGCTTTGCAAAGTAGACAGTGCTGAGCAGACTGCCCATAAAATATAAGATGAGCTAAGATAAAGACACATTCCCAACAGGATTAGGGTTGCCAACTTTCTAATAGCAGAAAACCTAGGGTTACCATTCGTCCGGATTCCCCCGGACATGTCCAGATTTTTGAGCTAAAAATAGCGTCCGGGGGGAATTTGTAAATGTCCGGACTCCCCCGCCGCCCCCATGCAAAGCGCGTGCAGCTAACAGGGCAGCCGGCCGGATGGTGCCACTTACATGGGGCTCTGACAGCCAGAGAGAGCCCCTCCTCCCCCCCTGCAGCTGAGAGCACTCCCTCCCTCCCTCCCTCCCTGCCTTCGCAGATCGCCTCTGGCAGTCTGCAGCTCCTCCCCCGCTCCTCCTCCCCTGCCAGCCAGCGTGCTGGAACAAATGGCTCAGGTCCTTCCTGAGCAAGTTCACAGAGACATTAGGCGAAGGCCAACAACAAGGGGGCCAGGGGGTCGGAGAAGGGGCAGGGAGGTTTTGGATGGGGCAGTCAAGAGATGGGGGGGGTCGGAGTTCGGGGGGGGGCTTTCTGGGGGAGGGTGTGGATAAGGTTTTGGGCAGTCAGGGTACAGGTAGGGGTAGGGTCCTGGGGGCAGTTAGGGAGGGGGTCTTAGGAAGGGCAGTTAGGGGATAAGGAACAGGGAGGCTTAGGTAGGGGTGGGGGTGGGTTCTGGAGGGCAGTTAAGAGCAGGGGTCCCAGG